TGGTATACTTCGTTCAGTTGCGGCATTGCTCCCGAAAAATTACCCCTTTTCGGGGGTAAATCTGTCATTACAAATTCATAATTTTGCATTTCAGTGGTACAAATTAGTTATAATTATCCTAAGGTTTGAAGGTCAAGTACAATTCGGGGTGCCAGGCGACGGACCTTAATGTCTTTATATTTTTATCAATTGCCTTTTGAAAGTAATATTACATATTTTCTAATATTTTCGGCAATTTATATTTTGCTTAAAATTAATAAATTATATTGTAGTTAATGTTTATGCCAGTATTTGAAATTTCCTTTAGGAATTCTTTATAAAATTTTCAACATGATATAGAAAATCATCTAAAATCAAAGTATTAATCTTTGTGAACGTTTGAAATAAAATATAAAATTTTCTCAGTCATTTTCGTAATAGTGTTTCTCAAACAAATAACCATTGTTGCCAAATTTTCATAAAATAATTTTGTATTATTATCATTTTCCATTCATGGTAATTACTGTTTTTGAATTATTTATAAGCAATTAAAATAAGAAAACAATAAAAAGATTACTAGATCAAAGCTTAAAAATGTTTACACAAAATCCCTCATAAAATTGTTCTGTTTTGTTTAAAATATTAAATATATCTACGCTGTTATTTTTATATACATTATTTTAAAAGTTCAAATTGGAAAAAATTACATATTTAAACTATTAACGATGATAATTGTTTGTTTCATTTAAAAATATATTCATTATAGGAACTTAAAACTTTACGGTATATTATGAATATTGTAAAAAATCTAAAAAAATAATTCAACTTACCGTAATACTAAAATAAATTACTTTAATAGGAATATAAAATAACATATCGTAAAACGTAGGTACATATTAATAGTATTATAGGCTAACAAACCGTCTCCGCTCAGAATCGTTTTTCGAATTTTCGTATTCATTGTGATAATAGAATATATTTTCGTTGAATTCAAATTTAACACAATATCTGTTACACTGACTCACTCAACACTTACTGTACAGCAAAGTGGTACTTACTTGCCTACCTTTGTTCGGAAGTTATTGCACAAAAAATCATTAAAATGGATTGCATATTGCAATAAAAAATATCAAAAATTGCACTTAAAAATTGTAATAAATTATTTAATTTACCAAAATCACTATTAAAAACTAAAAACAAAAAAAATTTACAAGTGTTATTTTTACCAACATTTTTATTAATACAAAATAAATGCGAGTTCTTTTAAATATAAATATTTTAAAATTAAAACTGAAATACTGGTTTTAGTCTAATTTTTCAGAAGCCTATAAACAAAATTGTAATAGTTTAAGAACGTTTTGGGTACCAACTCGTATGAACAATTTTTATTTTATTTTTAATACTTCTAACGTAAAAAAAAATAAAATCATATGAATAATATTACCTAATTAAAAGTATCTAAAATTGTATTTATAAATAAGGGAGATCAACAAAATTGTAATCAATACAAAAAGTTGCATTAAAAATGTTTAGATTTTAATTCATATTTTCGTGGAACGAATTTAAACTTACCCAGAAATAAACCTGAACAATTGAAAAAAAGTTACAAACCCTACAACTGCCGAGCCCTATAGATATTAAAATTTAAAACTGAACGTTATAGATTCCTCATAAGTCATGTCATTTTTACTGAATTTGAAAAATAATTCTGTTATTTATTGTTATAATTCAATAAACATTATTAATTATACCTACAAAAATTCCAGTGTTATTTAAATCATAATTTTCTACACCCAAAGAAGTTTTTAACATGTTTACATGTGTGTACATATTTTATGGTAAGTAATAAAATATCATGAGCCTACTTACAAGTTATACGTCATTCGGCTAGCTTAAATCGTTGTTGACCTATAAATATAAGTACCTCTATTTACTTACAATAATATGTGATGGTTTAAAAACTAATGATTTATTTTAACATGATTATCGACAATTAAAATTTAAAATTACATTGATGGCATAACATAAGAGACAAGACTATTATTACATAAAATTATCAAAATTATTTGATGTTTTCCTGTTATCAAGTAGGTATAGAGCATACGTATATTAATAATATATTAAATTAAAATTACACTAACGACTTATACTGTAGAAGGTTATTTGTGCAGAATTAATAGAAACGGATAAGATCGACTATGAGAGGCTTAATTGAATATGCATAATTAGTTTATTAACAACCAAATTTATTGAAAACGATAAATTATTAATGCATTTGGTGTTAAAAAAATTGTATTCATTTAAAGATAATGAATATGATAACATGATAATATTGTTTGAGTACAAATTATGATAAGTTAATAATAGGTACCTACGTGCTATGATTTAATCGATTTTACTTTATCAAAACACATAAACATTATTTAACTTGAACAAGTAAAATAATTTATAGGTGCTTATCATTAAATTAGAAGTTAGAAATTTTAAAAAAAAACTTTACAAACTTCCAAGTTTATAACTCGCTGGATAAATATTTTTCAAATAATAACAATAATAACAACCGTTTATAAATAATTCATAGTTGTTGTAATCTTATACTATCTTAATTAATAATCTAATAAATAAAAACTTTGTGTCACAACAGGAAATATTTGTCACTAAATGAAAATGTTAAAAAAATGCCATTTTTGTTTAAAATAAATTTTAATTTAATTACCTACCAATGTTTAAAAATGTGTGACTAAAAATTTTTGTTATTTTTTCAAGTCCATATTAATTGTTTAGTACCAACAAGTGGCTATGGGAAAATTATTAATATTAAAAAATATCTATTAAATTACAATAATAAATAATGATATATTGATACATTATTTTATAAATATACTGATTTTTATTAATGGAATATTAACTTATACATTCTAAATTTAAATCGATACATTTTATAGTTTTAACCTTTTCTTAATTAATTATCATTATACAGTATACTAATATCATTTCGATAACTTTATGTTAAACATTTTACAGTGTTACTATAGCCTATAGGTACATATATAAACATATAATATGCAGAAAAAAACCATATTTCTATTATTATTATTATTATATTTATTTCATACATTTATATCAAAAATTAATAGATACTTGCATTATTTATAATCTCATTTTTTTTTATTATTATCAATTCTCTGTATATAAGTAAAATACAAAGGTATCTAAATAAAACTGCAATATGAGTAAAACTTTCAAATTAAATTAATTAATAATTTGAATAGAATAGAATTTATCAAATTTGAAGTTTTAAGTAGTTATCTGTATAAATTACAAAATATATCATAATAAGTTGCTGGTATAATATTCATGGATACAGGTATTTGTATGAACATTTAGAAACTTAGGTTTACACATTAATTAATACTTTTAAATCAATGATAATACTATACAAGAAAACAATTTAAATAATAGATAATAATAATTTGTACATAATAATAATAATAAAAAAAAACTACAACTAAATATATTGATATAGATATTTTATTGGTACCTAACCAACTATTAGAAGGGTGAGGGCATACCAATATTTTATTTGTATAAAAACAGAATTTAAATTAAATGGTTTACAAAATTTTAAATTTAATATCATAATATGATCTACTGTTTCCATATGATAGTACGTTGGATAATTAATAAGGATAAATTAATTTGTAAGATTTAACTAGAATATAAAACATGGATAATTGAAAACCATATAATAAAATCATTAATGTGGATAAACATTTATTTTTTAAATATTTGTAATATAGGTACAGGAATCATCTGATAATAGATTGTCTACGACTTGTAAACTCCACGCCATGTGAATAATAGTCAGACATGGTACACATCTATACCAAAATACAACTTAGCAAGATATAAGAAGTCATTAAATAATTATATAGTCCTTTTTTAATTAAAATAATCTAACCAACTAAAATTCAATAAACATTTAAATAAAATGTTACTCTCATAATACATGCATTACTAGAAATATTGACATTTAAGAAATGACAACTAACTCTAAGAAACATTGATCATTCTTAATAAGGGAAGTAAATTATATCATTGCCTAATACATGTTGTCATTTCCTAACGAGAGCAATCAATGATATACAGTGCACAGTAAAATTACATATTTAAGAAAAGCAAATAAATTATTAAAATACAATACAAAAAACATTTAGTGTGTTTGATTTTTTTTTCTTAGATATGTCTTCATTTAATTTGTTTGTTTTAAATATTACTTTCTTCATCATACATAATTACCCTGACATAATATAAAGATTATTCATTTTTATTTTGACATAACAACTTTTATAACATTTAGAATTAAAATCTCTGGATTCTAATCTGCAAGTACACCTGTTTATATTATATTTTGTTTTACAATGATATCAAGTATATCCTTGTGCCTCTGGAATACTATTTATTGTAGTTGCCTCCTAAAGTGATATTTTTTTACTGTGTGAGTACGTAACTCATTGATTCTATAACAGCTGTTACATTCAATAATTTTGATTTTTAAGAATTTATTTCCAATCTTATATAGATGTATTTCAAACGTTTCAAACATCCATATTAAGTATCTATAACTTAGATAAAAAAAAACCTATTAATTTATATTATATACTTAGTACAAAAATAAATCAGTACAAATACTTTACTGTAATTCAATTTTATTATAAGCAATAAAAACTATAACATGAAACCGGCTTGTACATAGATGATATGTTTCATAATTAAAGATATAATATATACATTTGTTTTAAAATGGGCTTGTAACTTAATATAATACAAAAATTTTGATAGAACTATGAAATATCCAAAATCGCCTATCTTTTTCCAGTCATTGTCAATAATAATTAGGAAATCACACAATTCCTAAATTATCGACTACTCTGGTAACATATAATTATATAAAAAATAAGTATCTTATATTTTGTGTTTTTGAAATTCTGTTATCCATTCAACTGAATTACCCCTGAAAAAAAAAAAAAATTAAATGAGTTAAAGCTAAGTATTTTGTATTTGTAACAATAAATATGAACACATGTTTAGTTACTAATCTAGTTACTAATCATTGGGTTCAGGGCTTGCAAACGTTATAATAACATTATGATTATAACGTTATACTTGACAAAAAACGATTGAAATTTGTAAACGTAATTATAACAGAAAACAATAAACATAAATAATTCAATAACGCAAAACAAAACATAACGATTAGCAAAATATATGATATATCATCAAACAAAACATAACTCAAAATGTTATAATATATAGTATATCATAAAAAGAAATAATTCATTTCCAATTATTTAATAGTTATAAATTAAAAATATACTAAAAATTTTAACACTGAATAACGTTAAACGCAAAAGTTGAATAACGTTTAAATTCTGAATGACGATAAACTCAAAATTTGTATAATGTTTTAATTGTAAATAACGTATAACAAAATATTTATTTTTTTTAATGCAAGCTCTGATGGGGTTACATTAATACTAAATATTGTTGTTTCTAAAATTGGTAGGAATAGTAGGCATAACATATTATAGATTTCAGAAAATATAAATTTTGAAGTATAAAATTATATTACTAATTGGTCTACATATTTATACATAATTTTAACAAAATTTTGAAATTGTATTACCCTAATCATAACACAATTTATCACTACCTTTATTTGAGGTTGTAATCTTCATTTTTATGAATGGTATTTATAATCCAATAATAACAATACAAAAATATAAAAAGTACAAAAAAACACAAATAAAAATACATTTTAGAATTTGAATAATTATTTTACTGAGCAGTACAACAGTACAAATTCTATACCCAACATATATTTATTTTTAAATACAGTGGATTCTGCCTATTATAGGCATTGGTTAATATATACAAAATGGTCTGGTCTCAATTCCAATGTATACTATTAGTAGGGCCCAGATTTAAATGCATTTAAAACCATATAAATATGCTCTAAAAAATAGCCAAAAATGCCTTTTTCCACAAAAATGAACTTAAAAATGATATATAATTTTTTATACAATTTGAAATTTATAAATAAGATTTAATTATTTCTTATTATTTTATTAAAGGAAAAATGAAAATTTGATTAATGTTGACTTGCAAATATTTTGGCCGTTTTGGAGAAATATTATTCATTCTAAACATACCAAAATACGTATATATTAAAAATTAAATTCTAAGTAATCCTATTGTACTTATTATTTGTAATTTGATCAAATATGGGACATGGTTGACGCTCCACAATCAATAATAAATTAAGATAAAATAAAAGAAAAACAGAATTGAATAATTTATTTTTAATCAACTGCAACCATAAATTCTATTGCATTCGTAAACGCAAAGAACAAATTAACCTGTAATCAAATAACAAATGGCACACTCACTGGCGCAAACTTAACACCAAACTTAACAAAATAAAAAATAATATAAACCTATGGAAAAATCCCGAACAAACAATAATAAACCGTCTCCGAATTGGATACACACATCTAACGTACAGCTACTTAATGAGTAACCTATGCGACTCATACAGCGCTCTCTTAACCGTCAACCACATCATCACTGAATGTCACAAATACAACCAGTATAGAAACCAATTCAACATCTCCGAACAAATCTGTCAAGCTCTTGAACCAAACCCACAAGACAAAAAAAACTTAATTTTATTCTTAAAAACTGAATTTATAATTAAATTTAATATTAAAAAATGTAAATACTAACAATATAACTTTTAACAAAAATTCTTATACTAATGACCTAGTTATATTTTAGATTAATAAAAAAAAAAAAAAAAAAAATATATTTTTAGATAATATTTTGAATTGGCTAAATTTGTATAGTATATTGAACATATATGCATTAAAAACCAACAAAATAACCCAATGCTAAAAATTAAAAAACATCAAAATATATAAAAAAAAAAATGCAATATAAAATGTGTAGCTATGAAACCCTCGTTACATGAAACGGATTATGTACTTGTAACGCACTGTGTAAGATCAACTAAAAAAATATGCATTTTGCATTGAAATCCGGGCCTTACTAATAAGGTTAAAAAAACTGGATAATATGGGCACTAGGTTCGGTTTATGTAGGTGATATTTATTTTATCATAGAATTAAAATATGACTAATATGTACACACAATATAATATACGACAATATAAATTGTATTCTTAAAAAGATTGGAGGGAAAGACTATTTGATTTAGCTGCAACTGCAAACCAAATAAATGGCAAAATAAACATACTGCAAGCCATACAATTTGTATCAGACAAAAAGATAACTCCACATCTATGATGAAGTGTTTCGTTCTTTAAAGATTTTCTAATCCACAGCCTGAGTTAACTTCAGAATTGAATGAACAATTTTTACCAGTTAAAAACCATAAAGAGTTCAAAAATATTGATGAAAATACTTCTTGCTTTGATGATAATGAAGACATTTGCATACTCATAGTCCAAAATGTTTTTTGAAAAAGGGAAGTTCTTCGGTGATGAAGAAGACTATGATCTGAATTCTGACCCAACAATTACAGCTAGAGAGACTAAAAAATGCATTAATTTGTTACAGAAGTTCTTCACGCAAAAGGGCAACAAAAATAATCTGTCTGATAAGCTTGAAGCGTGCGCCCATTTTGTTAACCAGATATACACTTAACAGCTTAGACCAGCGGTTCTAAAACTGTGGTACGCGTACCACTAGTGGTACGCGAAAGACTACATGATGGTACGCCGAACTGTGGAAGGCCGCATGGTGGTAGGATTTTTAATCTTCAGTGGTACGCGACTGATTGATAATATACTTAAGGGGTACGCGAAATAAAAAGTTTGAGAACCGCTGGCTTAGACAACAAGCCATTACAACATATTGTACACCTTTCACATCCAAATAGTGTTTTATTTAGTATGTAATATTATTCATTATTATTTTGTCTATTCATTTATGTATTAATTTAATATATTTTTTTTTTTTAATTGTGAGGCTCATGTAAGCAAAATACACAAGAACATACTTTTTGATTTTAAATATTTTTGTATTTTTAAACAAATTTTTATTTTTATGGGCAGCTGCTTAATGTGAGCAAATGGGTTTGGTCCAATATGTCCACATTAAACGGAATCCACTGTACTAAAATACTTGTTTAAGTTAAGTTGGTTATTACACTTAAATAAAATTGTATTTTATTAATCAACTATTGATGAAAATGTCAACATATTAAAATTGAATATATTAAATTTTAAAATTTAAGTTACTTTTAATAAACAAATAGTTTGTTAAATTTTATTGCTATATCTAAGTGTCAATTAAAATCAATAATAAAATAATTAATATTTTTTTCCAGCTGATAATTTTTTTTTTTTGTAATTCAGTTCAAACATACATACCTAAAGAATTATAAACTCTGTTAGGAATAACAGGGGGCAATATATTCTTGCGTTCTATAAAATGTCCAGGTTTTTCTTTTGTTCTGTAAACATTTAAATACATCTTAAATATAAAAATATTATTAAGTTTATAGTATTTTATACTAACATGTAGTTTTTTGTAAATCCAAACCAACCAATTTCATATAACTATTAGTAACCAATTTTCAGGTTTCAAATCTCTGTTGATTATGTGGCGATAATGAAAGTAACTTAATACTTCAACGACATATTCGGCTTAATAATGTGTGGTAGACATACAGCTTTCTTTTGTCTCTGTAATTAGTTATTGTACGTTAATCAATTAAAATAATTAAATTATGTTAAACAGTATAAAATATGTACAGTCCTAAAACAAAAGGTATCACAGAAAATTTTTGTTAATTTTTAAATTATTTATACAATTATATACTAATATAAATTTGTTTTAACATCAGGTTAACGCAAAAAATTTACTATACAACAATTTGAGTTTTTAGAAATATAAATGTAGCTGATATTATTTATTATTTACTTCAGAATAATTCACAATTCTTTGTTAAGACAAAATCACAAATACATACGAATAATTTTGGTCAACATTTTGAACAACATACAATTTTCAGTTTGTTATTTTCATTGTCTTTTTTTTTTGTGTGTATAATGTGCTGTTGTTTTTCATGTTTACACCTAAAATTTTCAAAAAGTTGAAATGAATATGTTATGAAAAGATTTTAGCATATATTGTGAATGGATATACTCATTGAATGATCTGGAAATGTTTGTTTTAATTGACTGCTCTGCTCGCTGACTCCATGAATGTGAAACATGGCGTGTATGAGAAAAGAAAAAGAGGATCGTTATGAACTCGATTTCGGATTGGTTACCAAAATACTTTGTTGACTGAACACCACAACTGACAGCAAAAAATAAGTAGTTATCTGATACTGTTACTTTATACAACTTTTCGTGTGACTGATATAAAGTAACACAACATCATTGGTTAACTAGATTAACGATAATTTTTTAACGGAAAACAATGATTACCTAAATCTTAGCGCATAGACTTATTTACTGTTAGTACTTATACACAAGCGAACCGTCCAATTTGTAGTGTAGACTGTGTGACATGTGTCGTAATTCATGAACGATTTGGCATTAGTAGTCATATTGCAGCATAAATATTAGTTTATGTAGAGCACTCAAGAATTTGGGATCTAATAGCCGATGGTCGATGTGTGAAAAAAAAAATATATATATTTTACAAATAAATAATAATGCTTATAATAATATTTTATCTCATTGTCAGATAGTATATTATCACACTACTGATACAAGCCACGGCTATCACTAATTAGTATCTACAGCTGTGAATCGTGATACAACTGATACAAACGTCAAATACATCGAACCCATCGAGGCATAAAAATTTGAATTTTCGAAAAATTGTTGAGTACCTAATCTTACGAACACTTTTGTTCTACAATTTTATTTACTCAGTATACCGAGCTGTGTATTATGCAGTCGCATCAAAAATCTTAAGTCCCTCTGAAAACATAACATTTTACAAGTGGTTATTATCTATGTTAAAATATTAATTTTTCTTTAATAATTACATACGTATTGTTATTAATATTTACAATTACATTAAGCTTCATTGAATCTTTGTCAATGATGTTTTGTAATCAATATATTATAACAGATTTGTCTAAGAATCGCAGTTTTTTGTTTTGATTATTATTTATGTAAAAAGATTGTGTGTACCTAGATATATTTACATCCACGTTTGAAATCTAGATTTCAATTTTAGAATACGATTATGGTATCATAATTTTATATAGCTGAACCTAGTGCCTTTACCGATAACCGGCTATATAGGTAGTTCAAATGGATAAAAAATTAGCCTTCCTTATTATTAGTGCTACAGACGCTACAGTGGTGACGATAAAGATTACTAAAACAGTAACGCGTTCTAACCGCATTAATCGATGCGATTTAGATTTATCTTTGATAAATAGCCTATGTAAGACTAAACCCGTACCTGGTTTTAATGTATCAGCCGTCCTGTAAGCATTATCAAAATCATTTTTTAACACAGCTTTTATTATTTATTAAGTGTTACAACCAAAAAGATTTTCAAGGGACATGGGAAAATGTTCGTTATATTGATATTGGTATATGGAACGATGCAACGATATTCTCAAAGGGACGATAGTTTCGTCCGTTAAATAGAAATAGTAGTAATTATACCGAGTGTCGTTATATCGCAGATTAACTGTATTTTGTAATCACCGTCTACTGAGAGACGTCTCCGCCAATACTGTATGTACAGTTCTATTATGCATTATATGTGAGATGTCACGGTTTTAATTTTTGGTTACTCTTACTCATCCTAATACATCATGAGCTGTCGAGGCCGATTGCCATTTTTTAGGAACTCAATGACGAAACAGGTATTCGTGTCTACCGGCCGCAGACTTCGTTCGGTCAACCAATAAGCAATTCAACAGTGACGTTTCATTTCATACGCAGTTTTAACACCAACAGAGAGTGAAAAAATGGATCTGCCATTTCGTCTTTAAAAGACACGAGGGACGTATCACACAAGTGTGTAATATTGGTAACGTATTTCCTTTGTATCATAAATCATAATTTATAAGAAATCGCCCTGGCTGGTATTCTTTTTGTACATTTATATAATTATTGTTAGCATACATCCGGTAATCGTTCTTAGGTGACAGGTGTTGTCGGTTATGTGGATATTTGTTAATAAAAATTATATAATATTATTATTATCATATTATTCTCGGTAACCGTGTGAAGGAGCCGTGGGGTTTCTTGTGTGTGGAAATTATGTTGATGAATTATGCTTAAAATGTGACGAAACGGTTAGTAAATTATCATCACTTTGTCGTATAATTTTCGTTTATTCTTTTACAATTAAATTTACTCGATTTTATATACTCTCGTAATTTACATTATGGTCTCATGGCTCATAAAATTGTATTTTATCATTATTATTACCACAAAGATAAAAGTTTCGTTACCGTTGGTAGATACTCAGTGTCGCATCGGGTAAATCAGGGGTCGGCAACCCGCGGCCCGCAGAGCAATTTTTGATGGCCCGTACAAAGGTGGTTAATTTTTGTGTTTTACTTTTGTTCAATAACATTTTTCATATAATTTTCAATATTATATAATTCTTTTTCCTTTATAAATAAAATCTAATCTAACCGTTTCATAATAGCAATACAATTATAAGTATTGTATCATAATATGTAATTTTTTTTTTTTAATGTGGACCTTGATGAACAATTGAAAAAAAAAATGGCCCGTGTGGTTAAAAAGATTGCTGACCCCTGGGGTAAATGACAAAGTACTTACGGTTACGAAAATTAAAAAAACATATTATCTACCCGAGTAAGTATAATAAATACTAAGTGTCCTATGAGAATACCAGCAGCATTAGGAAAAATGAATTGTCGAAAGAACAACTGTTGCCTGCGTGTTATTTCAGGAATAATCCAGTAATGATACGTAACATACTATGCCAGGCGTATTAATGCTGTGTGGAACCTCAGAAGGTTTGCGTGCGAGTTGTCAAAATCACACTTGGGAATTGTCAAACGTTAACATCCGACAAGTTGTTATCATCACATTGGAGTTCGAGAAGCCGTTAATTATAAGATAATTGTAAGCAGTGTGATTTTGTACATGTCGGTGTGTGTAACTGTTGTTAAGACTTGTTTCCAATATTTCCATTTATTAGTTTCAATACTATAACTATGCGCAACATAGATTATCAGTATACCTACGACCATTTGAAAAAAGTAAATTGATTTGTTTGAAATGTAAATCTACTTTGACTTAGTAATCTATCAATTCTTATGTACCAAACAGATTCCTGTGTTGCTTAAATTAACTTCTCATTTTGTTATTATAGATGAGTAAATCAGGAGTTAAGCCCACAAAGTAATTCCAATTTAACAGGTACACACACTAAAGTTAAGTTTTAAGTTGTCAATGAAATATATCTAAAATCTATTGAAAGTAGAGCATGAACACCATTAGCTTAAAACGATAAAACAAACTAATATAGAAATAATGAATGATAGTGTTCCATCAATAAGAAAAACATGAGACTGAGAATTAAATATTTAATACACAATCAATAACATAAAAATCATCTCAAATTTGAATAATTATTCTTAATTTAATACAAAACTAATAACCCATAATAAAAAAATTAAAAATATCAAAAGTTATAAAACAACCAGTTTTGAATTTACAACATTATAACCATAAATATTAGATTCAGAAAAATAAATCGTTATTATATAACACATTCATATTTCAAATACATGAATAATCAAAATGTCATTATATAATATTATAGTCAATATTAAATTCACAACTCTTAAACTAATACCATTAGATTCAGAACACATAGTAGTTTAAAAATTATGTTTTCATTTACGCATTGTTATTACTCTCCATAAAGCGCTTGAAAGTAATTGATTTTAGCTGGATTTCGGGTAATTATCGTAATAAACAGATCTTCGTGTTGTTAAATAACTTCATTTTTAAATATAGATGATCAGAAAGCGAAGTCAGTGTTCACTTGTCAGGCAATAATATCACTCGTTAAGTTTGTTGTCAATTAGTAGTCTATTGAAAGTGAGTTATAAGAATACACAAATGATAAACAGTCTATAGAAAGTTACGAATGAGTTATGTTCAAGAAAATACGAGAGACGAGAATTAAATATTAATGGTCAATAACATAAAATTATTCAAATTTCAATACTATTCTTACTTAATAATAAATTAATAACCTTATACAAAATTAAAATATCGTGTTGAAAATTTGAATTAACATATAACCATAAATAGATTGGTGAAATAAATTATTATAATAACAGATTAAATACATGAATAATCAAATGTTCATTATAGTTGTAAATAACTTCAAATTGTCAATATTGATTGCACATAGTGTCAAAATATGCTTATTCATTCAATATAAACATAATACTAGTTTTACCCAAAAATTTAGTTCTTATGAATAAATGCATATTCATAAATATTGTACTATTTTCAATATAAATAATATTAAATTATGAATTAAATTAATATTAGATTGTGATTAAAGTTTGTAATATTCATACTAATATAAATATAATGACTAAGTTTTATTTAAAATGATTTTTATAATAAATGCTATTCCGATAATAGTTAAAATTTATTTTTACGCAAATAACATAACACAATTTAAATTAATACTAATATACCAGCATTAAAGTCGTAAAGTTAAAATTATGTTTTTCAATATACTATAACACTTAATAAATGCATAATTATTAATAGCAGGCTTATTTTTCTTGGTCATAAAATTTAATATTAACAACTTTAAATAATAATATTAGATTACAGTATAGGCTTGTGTTTTTCATCACGATTATAATTATAATGTTGTAAACATAAACATAGATATTTATTATTATTGCTTAATATACAATTAATATGAGGATCATAATCAACTACGATTATTAGATTCGGCGGTGTGCAGTTTATATTATCTAATAATATAATATTAATGACTTGAAGTTTACCTGTGTCGATTTTGTATATCAAATGGTTATTCATAAATAGCTTGTACTTATTTTCAATATACCAATATTAATACCTAGTTCAATATTGGTTCAGCACAAAAGCAGTTTAAAATTATTTTTCATTCATTCATTGTGTTTCACAAATGACCAGTTTAAGAGTTGCACTTACTGAATTTTACATAAGAAAATAAATTTATAGCTATTTATGAATAGATACTTGGATACAAAATCATTTTTAGATTAAACTAGTCATTATGGAATATAATGGACGAATGAAAAATACATTTTAAACTACTTTTGTGTGCTTGAATCAATATAGTTCAGTTGGATGAATTTGGTATTGAACTGTTTAAAATTATAAATTTTAAGCCTTTTTATAAGGATATCATTGTTATACAAAATCATTTTAGATTAAATAAGTCTTATGTACTATTATTGAATGAATGTGCCATAAATAATTTTAAACTACTTTTACCATGAACAATGGTATTAGCTTAAGAGTTATGAAGATATAATATTGAATTGATATTAGAAAATAAAATACTAATCGTAATCGTCTATATGTTTATGTTTACTAAAAATTACTAAACTAGGTCATTTATGAACGTATTGAATAAAAACATACTTTTATACATATAGTGTCCTGAATCTAATGGTATTAGTTTAAGAGTTGTAAATTAATATTGAATTTTACATGTAGAAAATAAAATTTTAAGCTATTAATTGAATAGCATTTGTTAGTAAAAATATTTTTAGATTAAACTTAAACATTTATGAACATATTGAAGGAAAAACATAATTTTTAACTACATTTGTGCTGAATCTATTGGTATTAGTTTAAAGTTGTGAATTAATAGTGAATTTTATATTAGAAATAAAATTTTAACATTGGAATAGGCATTTATTATACAAAATCATTTTTAGATAAACTAAGTCATTTATAGAAACATATTGAATGAATGAAAAATTTTTAAACTACTATGTATCCTAGAATCTAATATGTATTATGAAGCAGTTATGAATTTAATATTGAATTTATATTAAGAAAATAAAATTTAGCTATTTATGGAATATGCATTTGTTATATAAATGTCATTTTTAGATAAACTAAATTATTTATGTGTAATATTGAATGAATGAAAAT